AATTAATATTTCGTTTTTAAGCTGATAAATTTATTTATTAAATCTATAAGTATATGTTTAACAATGAGCATCATTTATGTGAGAGTAGTGGTCGAATTGGAGTCTTGATTAAAGAATCCATCCATTGTTAAAACTTTATGACAGTGAACAATGAAAATTAATAAAATATATTTTAATATTTTCAGAATTTCATTATTTATAAGTGGAAATTACATTGTTATACAATTATGTTATCTGTATCCCTCACAAATCTAAAAGACTTGACGTGTGCTTTGAACAACAATAAAAAATAACTACTATGGATTAATATTCGGACTTGTTTTCTTAGTGTAATGAAAACAAAGATAAAAATGCACAACATGTTGTAAATATAATGTATAAGTATATTTGATTTATAACTAAGGTTATAGTTAATACATAAAAACGTTATTTACTTTTAAATTTATAATGTATTTATGTATTGATGCCCACAGCGGCCAAAACTATGCGTTAAGAATAATAATATTTAATTATTAAACTATTATTTCAACTAAAGTAGTAACTATACACATTACTATTGAAACCAGCATTAAATATAAACATTAAAAAAAACTTTTTCATACATTAAAAGAATATATAGAAAATATTAGTCCAAATAACTACATTAAGTAAAGTTTTTTTTTTTCAATTATTTGTAATAGATTATAAACATTTTGGTTATATATTTTTAAAAAAATATATGCAATTGCAATAACGCCAAAATAATGCAAAAACACTTATTATAATTAGTTTTGGAATTAATAGAGAGGAGTGTGTAAATAGTTTTTATAAGGTGACATTTTTAACTTATTGTATAATGATTTGTGGGATGGTGTGTATATTGATACTGAGCTCGCGCCCTGCGTTTTTCGATTATAAGAAAGCAGATTTGAGCTGGTAGTATATGAGAACTGGAGTGAATTTAAGTGGGTTTATTTGTTAAAGCAACTGCAATGAGTGAATTATTTTTATAAAATTGTTAACTGCTTCGTCGATATCGGAATTGCTATTTAACCTGATTTTTTAATTAATTTGTTGATGGACTAAGTTGTGAAACATGTTTCGATTTTTTGAAACAGAAAAGTGTTTGGGCGGTTCGGTGGTTAAAAGTGGAGTTCCAGGAATATTAAATAGAACCGATGAATGTTCAGAGTTAAAATCTAATATATTGTTAGTAGGACAATATAAACGATTACGGATTTTTGAGATAAAAATATCAAGAATATCTGGTTTTTTAAATTGAGAGGTTGGTCAATATGTTGGTCCGGCAGGTGAAAGGATTTTGAAATTTTTTGCATTGATAAAATTGTACAAGAGACTACCACGTGGGTTGTTAACTTGACATCCCCAGGTTTGGTGCTTAGCATAGTAGTCGTCTCCTATAATGAAATTATTGAATGTACTGTTTATTGTTTTGAAATAATTAGATAAATTATTTTAAGTTATATTGTGCTTAAGGGACAGTAAATTGCTGATATAAGCACTGGGATATTATCGAGATGAATCGTGATGTCACATGATTGCAAGAAGTCCTGAGAAAAAACAAGGAAGTGGTTGGAATCGTAGTTTAGATTTTATAAGAATTGCTACACCCCTCATGAGCTGTGCCGTCTGGGTGGTTGGTTTAAGTAAAATGTAAATTTTAGAATATTGCGTAAAGTGGGTTTCGGTGATTAAGACTATGTCAATTCGTCGGTTGTAAAACTATGGTAATTCCATGACATGATTTTTAGTGCCATTGGAATTCAAAAGAAAGATTATAAGGGATTTATTAGTTTGAGAATTTATCATTTTTTATTTTCGAGTAAAAATAAAATTACTTGCGTAAGGAGAGTTATCAATAGGTTGATAAGAGTTTTAAAATAATTTATAAAATTAGTTAAAACGTTATTAATATCTAATGAAGGTGATGGGTTAACATGGTCATGATTTTGTTGATTTCGAGTGGTCTGTGCATACGATTTTGAAATATAATTATTATTCTCTACTTTAGAAGAAGTTAGAGGTAATGGGTGGCTTATTTTTACAATATCAGTATTATTAAATGGGTTTATATTAACATTATCATGTAAAAAAATTACTTTTTGAACTACGTTTTCTTCGATGGTGAAACTGTTTAAAGCCGGTGCAGCCCTTGTAATTGGCTGGATGATCTCCGAAGCAAAAGGCGCATTTAGCTAGGATTTCACGTGACTTTGGGCAGTCCGAAGAAGAGTGAAAGCACCGTAGCGAACACAACGGACAGGGTAGCCGTAGTAGGCTCGAGTATGACCATAATCCTGGCAGTTTAGGCATTGTGGAATTGTGCGATTTTTGTAAGGTTCTTCTACCTTAATTTTTGTGAATATGTAATAATAAAGTTAATTTGAATATTTCTGTAGATTTTTCAGATTGTGGTAGATTTACGAAAAATAATGGAAATAGTATTTTGGAGGTTTTGTAGAGTACTTGAGTTACTTATTGTACTTCGAATGTGAAATCTATCAGTTATTTTTTTAATTTCATCGACTGTGGTTGATGGATGAATACTCGTATTTCGAATGACAGCACGAATAGTTGTATCTTGATTAAGTTGGTAAATATGAAAAAGAACACCATTATTTTTTAGGTAATGTACTAAGAGCCTATATGCCTCGGGGTAAGCGGTTTGTATAATAAGTTGTTCTGCTGATGATTTACTATAGAAATTTTTTTTTATCAATAAGTTGACTATTCGATACATAGCCTATTGTACTCAGTAATTCCTCTCATAAAGATTGGGGGTGGTAGTTTGGGAGTAATTTCTTATTGGGTGGATGTTTATTTTTCGTTCTGTTCGGGGAGCGAAAATACCATCTCGTTGTTTGGCGATAAGACTTGAAATCGGTTCGCTGTAATAAACGGTGGTTTGATACGTTTATTTATTTTCATTGCTTGTGATGTTGGGGATGAAATGGAAGGTTCTGAGGAGCTAGATAAGATCATCTTGTTTGATTTTTGTTTTGAATTCGTCAGTTATCGTTGTTATTATTGTTTAGTGATGTAGAGCTTGAATCTGATGATTTTGTGGTATTTTTACTAAAAAGTTTAATCGGAGCGATTAAATTGTTGATTTTCATATTATTGCTGGTTGAAGACATGTATATAAGTATATAAATATATAAATTTGAATATTTATTTAATTATCATATATTTAGAATATAATAGCTGGCTTTGGCCGAGTCGACCTTCAGATAATAAAAACCGACGCCGACGCGATTTGGACGGTAATTGCGTTTATTTAATTTGTGATTAATACCGAACTAAAAATAATCACGCGATTAGAGATAAGAGCGAAAACGCAGCGCGGCGCAGGTAAGCACTGAACAACGGTTATCGCAGGACTTTCTTTAAAAATGTAATAATTTTTAATGTCTAGCACTTCTAATATATTTTAAAAACTAGTTAAGTACTGAACTGTGTGAAAAATCGTGTTTGTTTGTATTCATCCGAAACAATAATAAATCGAATAACGATTGTATGCGAAGATTGATGAAGCACTATAATATATTATGTCACTTGGGTTTCAAATACCTAATTTAATATAATTATTACTCAAATGAAATTAAATTATTTCAAATCCTTTTTTTAGAATCACAAATTGTAAAACACAAAATGCAATGTTTATTTTATCTGAAAATATTTGTAAGAAGTTACATAAAAAATTTATGAAAAAAATTAATTGCAAATAGATTTCTCGTAGAAATAATAAATTTTGTATTCTTAGAACTTGACAATACAATAAATTCTACTGAATCAAACTTTTCTTTAGTTTTCTTTTCATACCGCTTAATGTATCTCTTGCTAATCTTGCCCAGTCTACAAATTAAAAAGTTATTGCATCAGTTCATTGTTACTAACTTGAACAAAAGTTTAAATTATAGAAAAATAAAATTCATCATTTTATGACCAGTATATTCCTCAATGCTTTGTTTTTTATTAAACATATTGAGTAAGTAAAAAATGTGAAATATATAAAAAATTATTAAAAAACTAAAAAAAAATGATTAAACAATTTGCAATTTGAATACATTTTTTTTTTACGATCGATTAAAACTATAAATTGATTTACTACTACCTTTTAAATATTAATAATTATACATAACAAAACTGTATTGGCCTTAAAAAACTAAAAAAATGTGTTCTCTCATATATTGTGTAATTTTCTGTAATTATAATGTTCTTCTGAATAATTTTAAATACTGACATTGACACGGTCGTGTCACACAGATACCACGATCTCACACGTAACACCCCTTTGTCTTGTTTCAATTATATGTTCGATTACCAATCGAGACATCCGAGCGATTAAAGAAACTAAATTTAGAGACGGCGATGTGTCACAAGGCGTTCGCGAATACAAGTGAAGATAAGAGATACAATTGATAAGAGCATAAGGCCGCCATCTTGCAGCTATTCGGCGCTTTCTGTCTCTAGACGCTTGTTTCGTGGATGGTGTGCCGACCGTGAACGACCGGCTAACTTGTCTGCATTTAGCCGTCTCCGTGGCCTTTTTACATTTTAGCATTCTTGTTATTTTCGTAATTTTGATATTGTTCTTTTCCCCATTCTTATTTGTTATTCTATTAAATAATATGTATTAAATAATACACAAATATTATTATTATTATTATTAACTTAATTTTTTTATTATTATAATTTATTTTTTATTTTTTTGAGTTGAGCATCGTGACCACATTTATAATAAATTCAAAAACATCATTTTTAATATTTTAAATGTTTAAATTACTTATAACCATAGACGGTATATACATTCATACACAGGTATACATTAAAAGTTTGAATACATTACAACGATTTCATCCTAAATAAGTCATGGCGTATTTAAAAAAAAAAAATAATAATAATAATAACCTTGGTAAGTAGAACAAATATTAATAATATAAATATTCTAATATTGTACAAAATAAAAAGTCAAATAACTGTATATAAATATAATACGTTTATCTACAAAAATGTATATGGTACGACACATTTAAAATTATAAAATTACATTTTTTTTTACATAATTTTTACTAGATAACCAATACAGCAGTACAAGCTAATTTAAAATGTCAAATAAATGTAAAAAAAATACATAAATCAATTAATTATATTTTTAGTAGTCGTAGGAACTTTGCTTTGAGTTGTATGATCGACATCATTTGATTCTATAGATTTCTCTTTAGTGCTTGAAGATTTTTCGCTATTCCAAGGCTGTAATTCAGCACTTCCGAATATAGAATATATAATGGCAGATGTCACCATCGTGGAACACATTATCCAAAACACTATGCGCCACTCAGAAACGGTTCTCTAAAATATTTAAAATTTATAAATTAAAAAAAATCAAAATTATTCTATGTATAATCTGACCATAGTTTATTAAATTCTTTAAGGTATATTTTTCATGCGCATTGACTTAGATTTAAGAAAAAGAAATACTAATTTAAAAATATTTCATTTATAACCTACTGCTAAAATTAAACGGCAAACAAATGAGCCTTTTTGCTTTTTATTGTAAAATAATAGTGTAAATTCAAGAATTTTGATTTTAAATCATTTACACAAATTTAAAATAATTTTGAACAGTCCTTCCTTTTTCCACGAAAAAAAAAATTAATTTCCATGATATAATATTTCATTCATTTATTTATTTATTAACTACAATAGCAATTATTTTACTAAATGTAAAATGTATTATCCTATAAACATAAAATATATACAATTTAAAAATGTTTCATTAGCTATGTTTAGTTACTACTGATGAATATGAATTAATATATAACATAGGACCAAATAACTACTGTCATTTGGTAATGGTTTCTAGCGAAAGAACAACAATTTTTTTCAGAATGAAGTAGAAATAATTTTTAAATCTTTTACGTGATGGTGTTACATTCTATAAAAATTAGAGCAAAGTTTTGAAGATTTCATAATATTTTTTTCAATATTTATTGTTTTTGTAATGATTAAGATGTATATTTATATAATATTATTTTATTGATATTAAACAACGTATATCAAATTAATAAAATTACTCACGTCTGGCGTTAAAAGACCGACAATAAAAGGAGAAGCCATTCCAGATAAACACCCAATTCCATTAACAAGTGCCATTATCGAAGGTGAATAATTTGGAGACAAGTCTAAAGCATTAATACGAATGCTAGGATAGCAGAATCCCATGAGTAACATTCCTGAATTAAAGAAAAAAGTAGCTGCGAGTCTGTGACATCCTGAAAATGAAGCGCACATTACTCCCAATCCTGGACCAACAGTTCCTGAAAATGTATATAAATATTGAATTAATTATAGTATCATTACTAATAACATTAAATAAATGTATTTATATTTTATTTATTTATTTTGTTTAGTATAATCTATAGTATTATATTGTTCGGAATAGATCAACTTACAATTAGGTACTATACTTGCTTACCTATAACAGCTCCGATTTTTCTCACTCGAGTTACTGTCAAATATTTTTTTGTTATCAGATAATCACTCGCTATACCCGATAGTGACGCCATAGACCATTGAGCCAGGTATGGAGTGGATGATAAAAATCCGTTCTAAGTATCCGTGCAGGAATAATAAATTGTTTTATAGTTAAATCATGTAAATAGTTTTCAAACATAAAACTTACCTGTTCCTTCGAAAAATGTAATACATCGTTCATATATTTTGGAAGATCGTTGGCTATAGTGTATTGGCCCCAATCGAATCCGATTTCTACCGCAATTAATGCCCAAACAGCTGGCGTTAATATTATTTTACACCATGGTGTGGGTGCTAAATGCTTTCAAAAGAAAAAAAAATTGATATTATTTTTTATTAAACAATACTATAGACGACTCATAAATTTCTCATAATCTAATGATAAGTCGTCTGTTTTAATCTACCTTGACTCACATTTTTTCTTTGACAATATCCTATCGTATCATTCAAGTATTTATACTCATTGGACGATATTAAAGGACTTGAAATTGGATCGTTAAAAACAATTGACAACCAAACAGTCAACCATATTAAAGCAATAATTCCAAAACAGTAGAAAACGTTGGGCCATCCTCCAGGTATGCAATCAATTATAATTCCACTAAACAAATTCGCAACAATCTGTCCGATTGCAACACCTAAGCCCAACAGTGAATCACATAAAAAAATTACTATTTCATGCAGTGTATAGATATACAGACTTACCAGAAAACACAAGAGTTGAAAGTTTTCCCTTCTCCTGAGGTGGTGCCCACTGTACCATTAAGTTGCAAAGCGCAGGAAAAAGTATTCCCTTTGAAAACGCAATAAAATAAAATTAATGTTGATTTTTAAATAATAACAATAATCGAATTGTAATATACTATTACTGAAACTAAAAAAATATGTTGAAAGTACAGTCAGAAATTATAGTAATTTGTTCAAAATACCGAAAATCATATATAGAGGCGTAGATAAAGATTATTTATTGGGAGGAGGTTGATATATTTAGGTAATAATAATTTTTAGTATTACCTACTTACTAATTTAATAACTGGGATTTTAGTAATGGGGAGAGAGGCTTGAACTTTCATGATCCAACCTTACATACGCCACTGATCATGTATAATATTAGAACACCACCGTTGTATGCTCAGCATTTTAAAACAAAGGGGATATGAAGTTCACTAAACTTAACCATATAATCAATTTATTTGCTCTTCTTATAAAAATTAAAAATATACAGGAATGCTGATTGAATATTATTTAATTTGATAAAATTTAAGATACTAGGTATCTTATTTGTTATCGAATTCATGTAGTAATATTTACTGGATATAATGTGAAAAATATTTTTGTGATGTAGCAATAATTTTTTTAATAATATATCAAAACTAAATCGAATTAAATTATTTTAAACTGTATTATCTATATAATAGTTCAATATACAATGATGATTATTTAGTTTTGATGAATTTATCCATACACAAGATACAAGTAAATTCATGGGCACAGGGATAAGATATACCTCTTTCCCCGCGAGCATGCTCTTAGAGTACCATATGTGAAGTATTGTTTTACAGAGGTTCTTGAGAGATGTTTTTTTTCTACAGAAGTCCCGTACCTATCCATTAATATCTACTTAAAAATATACATACTGTTAACGATTAATATGTTGTTATTATACCTATTATTGTTATTTTTTTAGTAATAATTACTATAAATATTATCGTTATGTTATTTTTTTCAAGGGCTATTTTAGATTTACCTCTCCTAGTCCTTGGATGAAACGCAGAATAATCAGGTACCTGGGTCCAATTTTGGCCACGGTTGGTGTTAGTAATGTCAATACCGACGATGACGTTATGGTGTAGACAGTGGGGAATTTGCCACCGAACCTTTGCGCCAACCAACCACCTGGTATATGGGTGACAATGTAACCGTAGTAGAACGCGGACAGAATCATTCCCTGTGTCTCTTCATCCCACGTGAATCGGTCGCTCTGGTCCTCCATGAGAACTGGACTAGTCCCGTTGTTCTGAAATTCCAGGTCCGATGGCATAGGGCAAACCAACCCTTCTTGAACGTACTTACTCTCATTTACGATCACTGGCCTGACCATCTGCATCATCGTCATGCTCAGGCAACTTCGCATCGTGAACGCAATGGTCACAGCCATCATACTCATCACGGTCACTATCCATCGCTGGGGTAGGCTTTCTGAAATTGATGAGAGGGTGAGTGAAACGCGATTGTAGTTATGAAACAGACGTTCGCTACGATTAAGTTCAAATATTTTAAATTATACGATTAATTATTTTGGTTCTAGTCTAAAACTTTCACTTTGTATATTTTCTATCTTATAATATTTTTTTATTATTTTTATGTACACTATACTTTATATAAACATTGAAACGCTTTGAATCTTAATCAAAATTGATAACAATTAATAAATACGATTAAAAATTAAGATAAATTAAGTTTAAAAATTATAAATTCATCATATGTTTTTTTAATTTGAAATAATTATAAATTTATGATATTAGCTCACTTATATAATTTTTAATAGCCTTCATGTTTTCTTGTTGTTTTTATCAAGATGTATTTCTAAAACGATTTGGTAATATCTGAAATATGTAAAATAAAAATAATAATTAAAATAAGATTATTAATTAAGGTTATTTATTTAAATAATAATAGTAAGAATAAATTATAAATATCAAATGTATGTTTAACAAATTTTAAGCATTAAAATTGTTTTTCTAAATAATTATTTAGTCGACAACGAATTTGTTGTAAACTTTTATAATGCTTAATATTACTGAAAAAACACAATGGGCATATTAAAATAACATATCTGACTATTTTATAATTAATAGTATTTTTTTACTTGAGCTTTAACCAAAATTGATTAATTTGTACACAATTTATAGTAAAAATGAAAATCTAGAATTTGAATTTATGGCGTCTTCGATTCATAAATGTCTGAAAACATGTTAATGAAAACATATTTCATTTCTATCCGAGTGAATAACTATCATATAATCTATATAAACTAAAAAAAATGTGTAATATTTATATAAATATATAAGTAATTTAAAACATTATTGATTATTATTACTTTTATAAAATATATTTTTTGTAATACTTCGCAACACAATGAAAACTGTCTAAGGCACATCGAAGATTCTGTTTTAAACTAAATTTCTGGCTTATTCAATATCACATAATGCACGAAGGCACCGAATTAAATTTCCATCTAAGGTCTCCATATTATCAAAGGTCATTATGAAACGGGATACACTGTAATTATCATATGAGCTAAACTGCTACGCAGCTTGGGTGCTCGGTTCATACACTTGGCAGGGCTACGTGGGGAAATTCATCAATTATTAACAAACATTTATACACCTATGTAAAAAGTTTTTATAACATTTAAAATTTTAAAAACTTGTGTAGCATAAAAGCTTATAATAAAATATTAATTTGTCTATATTATTTTACTTTGTCATTTGGACCAAAATGAAATTTTATTTTATTCATAATTTGAATCTAAATTAAACACTTTATTTATCAATTATTTTATTAATCTTGTTTATTTTAATTACTTAACTATATAATTGTTACAGTACATGTATATGAAAATTTATCATGTCAATTTATACATACCTATTATACATAATCAGAAGTGACATCAATGGTTAGCAAAAGTATTCAACATAATTTACGAGTGTACGCAATTATACATACCATAGATATATTGTATAATTCAAGTAAATATACACGTTTAATAGGAGTACATTATGTACTATATGAACAAAATATGTGTTGTACAATTTACTTATAAGGAATATTGCTCTTGGTTATTAAAAAAATTCTTGTGTTTCTTATACAATAAATATCAACATTATGAGAAAAATTAAATTAATCCACACTTAATATATTGAGCGATTGAATGGATCATTCAATTCATATAATAGTTATTACTATTATTCAAACGATAAAATAATAGCACTAACTTTTAAAATAACAAATACAATAATTATTAAAGACTATAATTAAATTTATTGCATGTGATGATGTGAAATATACAAATTTTCAAAACAGCATTTACAAATATACATAAAATATACTAATTATATAGATATTAAAATTAATATTTATTCTTCAATATTATTATGAAAATAATTATATACTTACAATTATAAATTTATAAATTTGTTCAGTTCAATTACACAAAAATTACAAATTGATTGTTTTATGCCATATTTTTTCTATCGAACAATATCAAAATTATTCTTTGTCGGCTTAAGCATTTAAATTTGAAATTAAGAAAATTGTGTAAGTACTAGGTTCTTATACAATCTAACGACAGCAATTGGGTATAATAAGGTATTGCATCTGACACTGAAGTACATCATGTAGCATACATAACGATAACAAGAAAAAAACAACTAAATAATTGCAAATTATAATTTACAACAATATCAAAATTGTATAAATATTGTTTTATAATAAGTATACATAGTAATTAATGGTGAGAAAGTATTAATTTGTGACACTTTTTTTAAAAATAACATTATTATTTCATTATTTTTGTTGAAGCTGTAATTTAGTGATTTATTACAGATTATAGAAGTATAGGTTATGGTCAGTGTCATGACTAGACCACTCTAGGCCTGTGTGCGAATTAAAACTTCGAGGCCAATCAAACATTTTTGAGCATTTGACCTTTTGAGGCCCTATAATAAATAGTTCGAGACCTGTGACCCGTATGCATTGCACCCTCAGCGCACCCGGTTTTTACGGCACTGCTTAGGGTTGTAATTGCTGATATATAATATGAATTACATAAGTAAAATGATTTTAATAATATGATAATATAATATTATTGATGATGTGTAATAAAGTGAATCTAGCTTTATTGAACAAGGGGAGACATTATAATTCAAAATGAGCTAAACATTATGATTACCTTTTCCTGTGGTAGGAAGAAATATTATTTTGTATTTCTATGTAATATATTTTCTTACCTCGTCTTGACTTAGAATTGAATAGTTGATTCGTAGGTACAAAAAAAGATAGAATTTTAAGGAAATAAATATTACTTGATACTTTTCTTACGTTTTTGGCAAATACTTTACGGAGACACACCACACAACACTGTTTATGGAGACTGGCCAAGAAGTGGTATGTAGATAGAGCGTTTCTCTTGCCTTTTTATGTCTCCAATTGTTATTGCTATTGTGCATTTCCATCATTATGTTTTTATTAATTAGATATATTACAATAATACTTTATGTTATATTTTTATATACATATTATTCTTAAAATTATATACTATTGTACATTACAAACTAACTTAATTATTAATATGAGCTCGTAAACACATTTATTATTGATTAGTCTTTTTAATTTGTTTTTATTAATTGTAATGATGACTAACATGTGTACATGGTACAATCGATTGTCACCTATTAAAAAGTATGAAATATACTCAAGTAAACTTAAATTTTTAATTAATCAATATACTAATCATACTTGTATTATTTTTGACGACTATAGTTTACCAGGAATCGTGTAAAATAATGACAATGGTGGCTTATTATATTCTTATTCTTCAACCCCTAGAGCGTCTTGTATTCCCGCATTATTTTCAATATGCTAATTTTATAAGATGAATAATACTTCTTATGCCCATGATTCTATTTTGGACCTTATGTTCTCGAACAACAAACTTCTTTCTGCTAATAAATCTCTTGAACTGGTTGTACCTACAGACTCATATCACCCAGCGCCATGCATCACTTTGCCAGATAGTCTTAAAATTCCTTCTTGTAGCCGCATCCAATCATTTTATAATTTTACTAAAGCATGTAAAGCAAGTAATGAGTACCTTCTTGGAATCCTTTGACTGATACTCTACTTTTATACCTTTCGATGTTGAGACTGTATTTAACACTTTTTTGATGATCTGCATCAATTCATAATTTATTTTTTTCCTAAGTGTAGGTTTCGTTCATCGATTTACCCATCTTGGTATTCAATATAATTCAAACAAATTGTAGTTTTGAAAAAAAAATCCCACGCTAAATTCAAATCATCCATCTTCAAGCAGTTATGATTACAAGGAATTCTCTCTTCTCTGTGCTAAATTAAAATATAAATTAAAACAAATACTTCCACAACTATGCAAAGAGGGCAGATGATTCGTTAAAAAGTAGTCCAAATACATTCTGGCAAATAATTAACAAAAATAGGTCCAATTTCAAAGATATCCCCAAGGTAGTTTTATTTTATGGTAAATCCTCTTCAAACGTGCAAGAGTTTGCTGAACTATTTTCTTCTTATTTCTGCTCCATCTACTCTTCCTTGGATTGTATCTCTGTTAGCCTTGGCATATCTTCTTTTGACCTGCCTAACAATATTTCCTTGATCGTCAGTGATTTCTGCTATAAATTACTTTACTACGTAATAACAAGTTTGTTGGTCCGATGGCCTACCTGGCGTATTTCTTTATAATTTAAAATAATATATTTTACCATCTTTAGATCTTTTTGAGACGATCACTTAATAAAGGTATCTTCCCATCCATACTCAAATTAGGATCTATTACGTCCATTCTGAGGTCTGACAATCCATTTATTATCTCTAATTATAGGCCCATTTCTATTCAATCTCATATCGCCAACTTATTCGAATCACTGGTCTTAAATTATATACATAGATCTATTAATAATATTATTATGGAAAAGCAACACGAATTTGCCCGCGTCGTTCAACAAATATAAATAGCTTAATTTTCATAATTTTGTTTTCAACACTTTTCAACATCATTCGCAGGTTGACGTTATTTACATGAACTTTCATAAAGCCTTCGTGATAATGCGAATCATGTATTCTTAATGAAAATTTTAAAAGAGTATGGTATAGGTGAATCATTTAATTTGTTATCTTAGTTTAGATTCTATCTAGAGAATAATAGATACCAATCTATCAAACTTTAAATCAAATGTATTCCTTACCCTTTTATTGTACCTCAAGATGATTACCAGTCTCCATTATTATTTTCTATTTGCATCAACAATCGAAATCAGTGGTTCTCAAACTGTGCTCTACGGAGTCCTAGGGTTCTGAGAGTACCCTAGAGACTCCGTGGGCAAATCTGAATTAATTAATTTTAAATATTATTATATTTCTAAGTTATCGAGGAAAATCACTGGTATGATTACTTGAATTGCATAATGAATTATAAGTTTTAGTGACATCTATTTAATTTACAACTCAGACTTCTAATAAAATTTGGTTATTCCGACTTCATTACTTGGCTGTTATTTTCATAAAATGAAATTAAGTAAATTTGTCAATACAACGTAAAATTATCATAGTTTTCACAGCAAATGGCAAAATTCGAACTTCTAAAAAAAATTTTAATTTTGGATTGTGTATTTTTCTTAGTATAAAATATTGATAATTATTGTTATCTGGAATATTAATTCTTAATTTTCGGTGCACCGCAATTTTTTTTTGGAATATAAGGGCTCCGCGAACAAAAAAGTTTGAGAACCACTGGCTAAGTAAAGATAAGTAAAACATCATTGTAATTGTCTATGTTTTGATGATGATATCAAACTTTATATGCATATTAACTCTATGGACGATTGTCTTAAGCTACAATGCGATTTGAATAGTTTTGTTGCATTTTTCGATAAATTAGGTTTATCTCTGAATTTAGTTAAATGTAAAGTCATGACATTCAATAGGATCTGCTTCCCTCAAATGTTCTCTTATCATCTTCATTGTTGCATATTCAACATTTTATATTGTATACTTGTTATATACGTTATGTTTATATCAACAATAATAATAAGTATCATATTACTATCAGTGGGGACTGTCCATCGGTTATTAGCGAGTAGAAAATTTTAATGTACTTCATTACAATTTACACGTTTGACAATAAATGTCTATAAAATCATTTATGTTATTATTCATATTAGTTATATATAACATTCATGATTCTATAATTTCTCGCTGTGATGGATTCGTGCTGGACCTTGAATTCAAGCTTTCCAGCAATTTTGATCCGAGTATTTATATTGAGATGATTTGATATAAAGCCCTAAGAGTCATGAGTATTATAATGAACCTGTCAAAGGATCTTAAGTTAACTACCTCATTAAAGTATTATAATGATCAATAGTTCGACCAATTATCGAGTATGAT